TATATATGTGTGTGTATCGTTATCCACAGACAGGCTGTTTCGCTGTTTCACAACTCATCAGTGTGGTTAGACATCCGATCGATTCAAACCGGGATCGAAACCCGACCGATTTAATATCAGTCGGAGATTCCAACCCCTAGTTTATCAGAGAGAAAGGCGAACTTTTTGCGTATTTTATCATAAACACGCCAGTAACCTAGAGAACTCAATCCAATATGGAGAGTCTTTCATTATCAGCAGTAATAGTGACTCTTTACAAATTCGCGCTTTTTCCCCGCAGTACAGGCAGACAGACAGAGGGTCTATGTTTTTAAAAAATGGTACCAGGCATGAAAGCTCCTAGACCCAGATCTTTCTCATCCCTAAGAGGAACCTCTATCTTACTGATTATATCACCATAGGTGTAGCTGTACTCGCCACGCGTGGCCAATTACGGGATGGTGGGGTTATTTAACCTATATTTGCAGCTTTTGAATTCAGAAATGTCCATCTCCTAGACCGATTGCCGCACAAGGCTGTAATATCCAATGTGCTTACGGGTAGTCATGCGCCGAAGCTTCATTTGTCTTGATTAATGCGCACGCAATGCGTGAAATTTAAAAAGAACATGATTATTAGTTGTTTTATTATTTAATTTGTTTTATTATTTATTTTATTATTATTTGTTTTATTATTTATTTTATTATTATTTGTTTTATTATTTAATTTGTTGCATTATTTATTTTAACATTATTTAACCAAGAATTCATTATTATTAGAGCTTCACTATAAAAAAAAACAATACTTGTCATTGCTTTTCTAAATAACACATCTATCAAAATCCCTAACCCTAACCCTTGCACAGTAATTGAGACCAGTAAGATCAGTAAAATGCCGTTAACTAAGTAAGCTTCGCGCATGATTTCTTGAGGCAAACGTATGTAAACAACGCCAGTAATGGCGGACGGTCTCGACGCGAATGGACGTGAATGAGTCTACACTTTTATTCTCGATAACTCCCAAACTGTAGCTTTCTGCAAGCATTTAATGTTACTTACGAATTAGGCATGTAAATTTACACCTAAATGGAAATTTTCATTAGAATTGAGCGAGGTGCTACACTGCAAATTATCCATAGGTTCTTAGTTTTTTCAAGGGTCATTGCACTTATGTAAATGTAACAAACTTACCTAGAATTAAAACTTGACTCTGCAAATTTCCCAATCCGAACCGCTTATCATTACTCCACAGTGCCTCCATCAAGGTAAATTTAGGCAGCAATATTTCCCTGGGCAATTTTGATTGACAAGAACCGATAAAGTTTGTTTATGTTATTGTATTTTCCAATTTCCGAATAAGCTGTGGTATATCGGGATGAGGATATGAGGTGGAATAAGTAAATATTACGATTTCATATGGCGACCGCTAAAGGTACGGTGACGAACCGAACCCTTTATTTATACCTCATCTCAGGGATATAGACAGAGGTATAGACAGAGAAATATAACATAAAGGCCGGAGCGTACAGCGGCCGAAACTTTGTGAATATGGCAATGAAGATGAGAATATCAATCCGAATAATGTAAATAATGCAAGTAATCATAATACCTCATCACAGAGATATAGACAGTGGAAGTGACAGAGAAATATGACATGAAGGCCATGAAGAGTATAACGACCGAAGCGTTGTGAATATGGCAATGAAGTTGATTATAACAGCCCGAATAATGTAAATAATGCAAGTAATCATAATACCTCATCTCAGAGATATAGACAGAGGAACAGACAGAGAAATATGACATAAAGGCCGGAGCGTATAACGGCCGAAACGTTGTGAATATGGCAATGAAGACGAGGATAATTGCCTGAGTAATGTTAATAAAGCAAATCTCAAAAATGGTTTGTGCAGTTTTGACTAAAGTTTTCTAACTGAACGATGAACACTTGACAGTGATCAAATCATTACTTGAGAATAGGACAGGTTTCCTTTTGAAACGCACTATATCTACGAAGGAAAGGCAAACATTTCAAGACTTAGAACACAGGATACTGTTGGCAAAGAAAGAGAAAACCACTACCCGCACGGTTTCAATTTAAAGATGATGTTCTGTATTTAGTGGGATTGGAGAGACGATTGATTCGAACAAGTACTGTCTCCAGTTAGACGAACTGAATCTTTCTAGATTCAATTCGTCTAACTGGTACTTAAAAAAATTAATAGATAATACATAATGTTCCATAAGATTGCTCTCGGCCGGATATTCCTTTGCAGGAAGTCTGATATTTGCTATTGCTTTTTTTTTTTTTTTTTTTTACTGTTGTATTCGACAAATATTGCAGATCCGTCTTCTGTTTTGATCATTGCACAAATACTGAGAAAGACAAGAAAGTTCTGTGAGGATGGAATTATGAAGTTGCCTACGAGATTAATATCTAAAGAAAATAGTCTTTTACCTCCCCCCCAATTAAGTATAAGCTAATAGCAGATCCAATTAGGCACTGTAGCCCTGTCTGGAAACCAGTTTAGAAGAAGAATTCTGGGATCTTTTCTCTTAATTCGCTCCCATAATAAAAAGAAGTCACATTTACTAAAATTCACACCAAATTCACCCCCGAGCGTGGCCTTTCCATTGCACTCCGGTTTGGTCAACCTTTTCAATTGCCCCAAATGTTGGCAACTCGTTTCTAGCGCTATTTCTGATTTACTTTCGCGCTCATCACGATAAACAAGCCAAAAACATTTTCTTTTTCCTTTTTATTTTTTAAATTGTAAAAAATTCCTTGTAAGTTCCTCGAATATCATCCGCCCTTACGAAATGTGAAGAACTCCCTGATTTTTGGTAATTTTTCATTCTCAGGGTTGGAGTTATTGCAAGAGACGCTAAACAATTTTGATTTAAAATTTATAATCTCAAAAGAGTGTCAAAAATTTTAACAAAAATTAAACGAACTTTGATTTAAAATTTAGAATTTCTTGAGGTGAATAAATATTTACGATAAGTAACTTTAGGTTTTCTGAGGTGAATTAAAAGAAAAGATCCGAATTCTGAATTTAAAACCAGTTGGTTGAGGGACTGACAACATCAGCCCTTAAAAAAAATCTACTTGCTACAGAAACCATAGCAACAAGACCTAGCATGTGAGACTATAGATTTGTACTGCATAGAGGAGTTTACATTGTTTCCATACAATAGAAGCTTTTCTCCTGCGAAATGGATCATTGATTAAAAGTTTTCCACTTTGACTAAACTTTGTTTCGGATACTATTTGATTGGTGCATAATTATCAGTCGTTTTTTTTTTAAACAATATTTATTATGTAAAAAGAAACATAACAATTCAACAAAAACACTTTTAAATGATTATTTCGGAACGTATGATTATCGATACGCATTTTTATAAACTGAAAATAAAACAGTTTTTATTTTTAAAAAAGTAAACAAAACACCAATTTTTTATTAACAAATAACTCACCTACAAAAAACGCCTGATAATTATGCACCAACTCGATATAATGTGAGTAAAAATAATTAGGAAGCGAACGGGTTTATGGGTAGTTTAATATATAGTGGCTGTTGACTCCCAAAGAATGTATGACCATCACTGGCATGTACTACCCTTCAGTTAAACTCCACCACACACACAGCACTGCATTTATCGGTTGTGTGAACGACACTGGCTCATAAAGCCAGCTATTGATCTGCATTTCTTGTCAAATATGTATCATATCAAATCTCCGGGTGGTGGAAGTTGACTTCGAGCATCATCACTTCCAATGATTTCTGAACGCTTAAGTTACTGGAAGTGCCAATCTTAGCCGTTTCCTTATAAGGAAACAGTCGGCGTTCGTTGAGCGAGCAGCCAGTGTTACTTGAGTTATGCTTTTCATCGCTCTTTGGTCATCGGACTGGGATCAAAGTGAAGTATTGTGTTGGTGCATAATTATCAGGCGTTTTTAAACAATATTTATTATGAAAAAAGAAGCGTAGCAATTCAACTGTAACATTTTTAAATGATTATTCCCGACTGTATGATTATCGACACGCATTTTTATAAGCTGAAAATAAAATAATATTTTTATTAAAAAAAAATAAACAAAACAGCAATTTTTATTAAACAACTCGCCCACAAAACGCCTGATAATTATGCACCAACCCAATATACATCCGACAAATATTCATACAAACTATAGAAACTAAGGTGCTATTATCGAGTTCAATTCCAGTCAAGGGCGTCGGGATCACCTTCGCACATATACGATCTCTTCTGCTCCCAGGGCAGACTATGCTCTCTAAACTTGGTATGTTACCTGTCCAAGAGAAAGGCAACTCTGGATACAAAACGGTTCCGTATTGGGCTATCAGCAAGACCCCGTAAAAAAAAACTTAGGACTGAAAATAGCAGAAATACCTCGCCTAGAAAAGCCACGGCCTTATAACACACAGACGTGTCTACTTAGTAAGAAGGATAAATTTATTTAACCCCAGTTCATTGTATCAAGAGAAATCTTAATCATAGCCAGACATCCGAGAAACAAATTTTAATTATTTTTTCCTGGAGAGTCATACCATATATATCAAACCATCTCCTTTTTATGGAACAAATATATGTAAAAAAATTGACACCGAATATTCAAACAGGCGGAAAGAATTAAATTTATAATAAGCAGGTTTTAATGAATGCGAAAAACAGGGGTTAGGGCAAGTGAGACGTTAAACCCCTTCGCTTTTATTTGGAGGGAAAAAAATCGGAGCGACACATAATTCCGATAATCTAGGTATTGAGGTGGAGAGGGGATGGAAAGACACGCAGGTCACGCAGTGCGGTGGAGTGGGAGGGAGAAGTAATCGCTTTCCAGTTTGTTTCAATTTGTCTTTATGAAGCCCCCCTCCCCCTATGCCCCCCCCACCTCCCGACCGGCACTGTTCTACATTTTTATCACCCGCTATTCTCTCTTAGCGTTACACTCCTTCTCTTTGGCAGTCTCATTGTCGCAGAATTATTCTATCCCAAATGTGTCTGTTACCTTTTGGAATCTTTTGCCCAAGTTTCATGAAAATAAAAGAAAGAAAGAAAAAATAAAGAAAGAAAAAAAAGATGAAGAAAGAAAGAAAAGATGAAGAAAGAAAGAAAAGATGAAGAAAGAAAGAAAAGATGAAGAAAGAAAGAAAGAAAAGATAGGGGGGGGAAACATAAATAGAAAACAAAGCATTCGACGAAAATAAAAATAAAGAAGGAATGATACGCTTTAAGGAAAACAGATTCTGAAGAAAGAAAGAAAGAAAGAAAGAAAGAAAGAAAGAAAGAAAGAAAAAAGAAAAGAAAAAAAAGAAAAAAAAATTTTAAAAGAAGGGAAAAATGGAAATAAATAGAAAACAAAGCATTAGCCGAAAAAAAAGAAAAAAAAAAAAGAATGATACCTTTTAAGGAAAACAGATCCTGAAGAAAGAAAGAAAGAAAGAAAGAAAGAGAAAGAAAAAGAAAGGCGGGGAAAATCAGAGTAATAAATAGAAAACAAAGCATTAGACGCAAATAAAAATAAAGAAAGAATAATAAGTTTGAAGGAAAAAAGATTCTGAAGAAAGAAAGAAAGAAAGAAAGAAAGAAAGAAAGAAAAGAATAAAGAAAGAATAAAGAAAGACAAATGGAAAAAATAAAGAAAAGATGGGGAAATATGAGGGAAATAATTAGAAAACTACGCATTAGCAGAAAATAAAAAAAGAATGATAAGCTTTAAGAAAAAAAGATACTAAAAAAAAAAGAAAGAAAGAAAGAAAGAAAGAAAGAAAGAAAAAATGAAAGAAAGAAAAGGATAGAAATCAAAAATAAAGAAAAAAAATAATTAAAAGATAGGGGAAAATAAGGGAAATAAATAGAAAACAAATCATTAGCCGAAAATAACAAAGAATGATTCGTTTTAAGGAAAACAGATTCTGGAGAAAGAAACACGAAGAAAAAATTAAAAAATAAAGAAGTGAAAACATGAAAAGAAATGAAATAAAAAGAAGATATTATCAGAAGAAGAAAGAAAGAAAGAAAGAAATAAAGAAAGAAAGAAAGAAAGAAAGAAAGAAAGAAAGAAAGAAAGAATGAAATAAAGAAGAAAAATGTAAAATAAATAAAAGCATTCGGTAGAAGGAAAAAAAAAAAATGAAGGAATAGAAATGAAAGAAAAATAAACAAATAAACCAACAGACAAAACCAAAATCAGGAAAATACATAAAAACTATAAGTGAGAGAAAAGGGAGAATGAACGAATAAAATTGAAAAGAAGAAAATAAATAAAATGAGCCAACAGGGAAAAAAAGAAAAGACAAGGAGAAAACGATAGAAAGGAAATACATGAAACTCTTAAAGAAAGACATAACGAAAGATAGAAAGAAAAATGAATGAAACAACAAAAAGAAAAGAAGAGAAAAGAAAAAAAAAGAGTAAACGAAGGATAGGAAAAGAAAGAATGGTAAAGCAGATTAGAAATAAGAAAAGAAAATCAGAGAAAAAAAGAGCAATCCGAAAAAATAAGTAAGACATGAAAGAATAAGAATGAAATTCGATTAAAATGTAAACATTGGAAGATAGAAAGAAGGAGAGAAAAACGTAGAGAAAAAAGAAAGAAAACGAAAAGAAAAATTGAGAAAAAGAAAAGAGACAAAAATGATCTGAAAATATAAAAAACTTTTTTTTTTTTTTTTTTTTTCCGTTTTAATTTATCCTACTTTTCTTCTTCTTTTCTTTTCTTTTCTTCTTCTTCTTTTCTTGTTCTTCTTCTTTTCATTTCTTCTTCTTTTCTTCTTCTTCTTCTTCTTTTTCTTCTTCTTCTTCTTCTTGAAGAAATCTTGAACTTTTTTTTGTTTTGTTTCCATCGAAATTACAAAATTTATTTTATCTTTCCATCTCATCCTTGATTTGTTCAAAATTCCTTCGTTTTTTTTTTACTCATTCCTAATTGATAACCGTTTTTCAAATGTAGGTTTTCTTCTTTTTCCTTTTTACTATCATCATTCTTTTCTTCTTTTTAATTCTCAAATTTTATGCTTCATTCTTCTTCTTCTTCTTCTTCTTCTTCTTCTTCTTCTTCTTCTTCTTCTTCTTCTTCCAATTGTACCATTCGCTTTTCACTTCTCTTTTTAGTACTAATGTATTTTCTTTCGTTTTTCCTCCAAAAGCTATGTTTTATTAAATGTTTTTACCACTTGGCTAAGAAATCGGAGAGCCGAGTTCGAATTCCAGTCGCGTTCATGACATCCACTTACACGCTAGTAGCTTTAGCAAAGGTATGAATCCATTTCCTCCTACCAGCTATGGGTTTAATAGTAGGATTTCTATCTGGGAAAAATCATTGTTATCCTAAAAATCATTATTAATATAATATTCGTTCGCTAAAACAAAAATTCTTACAATACCAATATAAATTTTGGCTTTAAATAACCCACAAAGGGTTGATAAGCCGTAAAATAGAAGTCAATGAAGGAATGAATAAATCATTTTGCTGAAGCGAATGTAAAAAAATAAATTTTTAAATTAACAAGCATTCGGCAAACACCCTCAAACCCATAAATTAATAACTCCCAGCGCCAAATCTACCAAATTTTTAAACTTTCTAATATATATATATATATATATATATATATATATATATATATATATATATATATATATATATATATATATATAAAAATAAAAGGTGTCAATATAAAAATAATATTCATGGAATAGTTTATTATATTCATCAGACGGATAAAATTACTTTTGAATTTGTAGGTCTGATGAATTGAAATTACGATTCCAATGTAATAAATTATAACCATGGAATATTAGTGTTTGAATATGATATATTTATATTCTCACTCTGTCCTGAACATTGAGTTCTACCTGGATTTTATCCTCTTGAGAATTTATGTACTTATATATATATTTATATATATTATGTAATATACTAATATTATCTATCTATCTATCTATTCTATATATATATATATATATATATATATATATATATATATATATATATATTATTTTATATGTACAGTACTTAGTGGAAAGCGCTCAGTATCAGCGATACAGCTAACATATTCAATTGTATGGATATGAGTTTTTGACCCTGGCTTTCAAGCTTTTGCGATCATCAGACAAACTGCTTTATTTTTTTTACAAATGGATCGATTTATGCTTATTTGACTACGTTTGGTGATGGGAGGGGGAATTTACTTCAGTGTTTACTTGAGTCGACACTCTCATACGCATAGACACACATACAAGCAGGTCTACACATTTTGGTTTAAACAAACGCATCAATATAATCAATCCGAGGCTAGGCGCAGATACATATCCATGCAGGCGAGCATACATACACACACAGTTGTAATCATATATATATAGTTTGCCCTTATGCTATATTTATTGGATAAAGTGCTCCCTATCAAGACAGAGCGTATGTATATATATATATAAAAGTGAACATTGAAGTCAACACTCAGGGGCGACAGGCCGTTTCATTCTAGACCCAATCGTCAGGCCGCCCTGATTGCGTCCAGCATGAAACAGCCTGTCGCCTCTGAGTATTGACTTCAATTTTCATTTATTATATATATATAATATATATATAAAATCTCATAAATATATATAAATATAAGGAAATTTTGAAATGGACTTTTCCTTATATATATATATATATATATATATATATATATATGTGAGGGCCCACCCTGTTTATATTGGTTTGTTATTATATATATATATTTCTTTATCTTTATATTTAATTTCTTGATCATATATATATATATATATATATACGTTTTATAAGTTTCTCTTTAATTTTATATTTATGATTTTATATATATATATATATATATATATATATATATATATATATATATATATATATATATATATTATATGATCTTTTTTTTATAGCTTATATATATATATATATATATATATATATATATATATATATATATATAAAGAACAGTCCCCATGTTATATATAATCCGGTGTTCTTATTGATATTTTTTTATCATATATATATATATATATATATATATATATATATATATATATATATATATATATATCATTTCCGTTAAGTTAACCATCTAAATAGGTCAAGGTTCAGACACTCCTCCTACCCCAATATAAAGCATGCTTAAGAGAGATATGAAATTAACCCCTCCCTATACTCTACCTTGTCTCTTTAACTACAACTCTCACCCCCCCTGTTAAATTACAAAATTACACTACCCATCAATTTCTAATTCCATTTTTCCTTTCATTTCATTGTTGGAATTGTTACCTGATGATCTGGAGTCCTTTAAAAAGGATTTTGTTGAAATAAATTATTGTAATGGTACCTTAAATTGGTCTGTTTTTCATTAAATAAATTTATATATATATATATATATATATATATATATATATATATATATGATAAAATAAAATAAGGAACAAGTAGGAAACGTATGTTAATCTAACATACTTCACCTTTGACAAGGCTTCGTTGGAGATCGAGATAAGAAATAAAAAAAATCAAAAAGACACAGAGTACTGATATGTTATGATTTTAATTAGTTCCCATTGGTCAGACATGCGTCACGTGTCTTAATGCAATAGATAAAATATAAATATATCTGAGGAACAGTTTGGGCGTTAAAGTGTATAATAGTGTAAGAATGTGTAAAGAAACGCTTGTTTGTCTAGGTTCATGCTGGACTGTAACGTTAATTCATGTAAGTGTATAAGTCTTTGTATGAGGATTCATATATACAGGTCACTGATGCATTATGTATAGGCTATTGTATTGTATTGTATTGTTCTAACGGTTATTTTGCTGGGTGTTAACAGTTATGTTTTTGAATGATTTTAGTGCCAATTGAGTGAAAATAATTCTAGTTCATGAAGTTTTTTGCTTATTTATAGTGTTGTATGTTAATTCTTTCATTTATTATTGATTATTATATTATTGCTTTATTTACTTTTACTTGTAATTTGTTTATTATTTACTTAATTTATTGGTTTGGATTCATTTTTTTTACTTATTTTTGTTTATTTATTGTTTTATTCAATTGTTTATTCTTGTTCGTTTTTAGATTTCGATTAATTTATTTTAATTGTTTTGTTTATTTTATTTTATTTATTTATTTTTATTTATTCATTTTCAGTTTTCGATGTCTCAGTAACGTAGTAAAAATTTCGTATCGAATCTGCATTTTGAGATGAGTTATTTAGTAGTTTGTTTTCGTCTTGCAAATTAATTCTAGATATTTTCCTACAGGCCAGGTTTGCAGTTTTTTGCGTGATTGTTGTATGCTAATGTGCTTTTCCTTATTTTCCATCATGTTTTTGGTGTATTTTGTTTTTAATTTCTTAGCTATGTTTAGAAAGCATTGTGCTGTTCGCGTATTTATTATTTTAAAGGATATTTTGTGTGCGTAACTTCTTTGTTACTAGGGTCCTTCAGTTACTCCTGTGTATATTTTTCTTCGGTATTTGATAATTTTACAGTGGCTTGGTATAGTACATTGTTCTGCAAGCAACTGCCTTTTCAGGGACTTCGGTTTTTTGTTCTGCATTTACACGTGGGTTTGATTTGTTTGGGTGATTTATTTTTTTTGTTGTTGTTGTTTTCCGTTGTACTTTTTTTCTTTTGTCATGTTCTCGATGAAACTGTAGCTGATTTTTACTGTGTTTTTGTTGAATATCTAGTG